CAAACACTTTTGTTATTTGACTAACAGTAAGAGTGTTGTGTTAGTTAATTAATTGATGCTATACATCAATTTCTTTCCAACTTGAAAGAAATGCAGCATACCTTTTTTTTTTTTTTTGGTTAAATAATTGTGTTTCATATCATTTATTATTATTTTGGAGTTGTTTGTCTGTTCATATATTTTGCATTCTAGTTTCTTAGTAAATTAGTATTTTATTTTTGATTAACTAAAATTCCTTTTTGAGATTAAAGTTTTAGTATATTTAGTTTACTTTATGTTTTGTAAATTTATACTTTATTTTCTCTACTTTATTATTATTTATTGAAATCTATTATATCGGCATCCATCCTTTGTAGATTATCAAATTTACATGTGTTTGTGCTTGATAAATCTAAATTTTATATATTTTTTACATGTCTTTTAATTTTAATTTTTAGTTCTTTGAGTTGTTTGAGACTTATTTTTTTTTATTTTACATATGTTTAATTTGTTTTGTGTAGGTAAGCACTAAATTGCAAGAACGTGGAATTATTAAGACTAAACCAAAGAAATCAAAATTAGGAAGATCAAAGTGTCAATTTTTTTAAAAGAATGAGGGGTCCAAACAGTTTTACCAATGAAAAGTCCAAACAGCTTTAAAGGGCAAAATCTCGACACGGACTGTTCTTCGTTGATACAGAGAAGGTGTCGACACTTCCTTAGTGTACCGACACCTTAGGCGATTTCGAGATTTTAACGGAGTCCTTATTGTTTAGAAATGGGTTCCACCCCTATTACAATTGGGTTTTCTAGAAATATTTATCCAGTATTCGAATTAAAGGCAGTCGGCTGAGGAGTAGATTTTTCTAGCAAGAGGAAGAGGAGGAACTCCAGTGAAAAAGAGAAAAATTCTTTAGTGGTGATATTGATCAATTTTGGATTTTTTATTTTTATTTTTATTGAGAATGAGATTTTTTTTTTTTTTTATAACTGATTTCTAGACATTAAATTATGAACTAAGTTATTTTTTCTTGAGTTTCAATTAGATTTGATCTATGAATCTTCAAGTTAAGTTGAATTCAATTTCTTTATTAATTTTTTATTCAAGTGATTACTTTGTTTTATATTTAATATTTTTAGTTAATTTAATGTTATAAATTTTAATTAAAAATTGCAAACCGTTATTTGTGCCAATCAGTTACAAATCCGTTGTTTTTCAAAAAATTAAATTTGTGCAGTAATTCATTAGTTAAAAATCCATCTTTTGAACCAGCTACATATTTAGCCGTTTCATTGAAAATATTTTAAACTTGCCAACAGTTCTCTTACTATTCAACTATTCCAAAATAAATTCATAAGCATTTCGTCAAAAACGTTTTAAACTTACTACTAGTTCTACTATTCAGCTATTCCAAAATAAATTTATATAATTTGTGAGATTTTGTGTCAACAATTGTATTGGAATCAGGTTTATAATTTGTGATGTTCTGTTCCAGGGAATAGGGAAGGAAAGATTTTTGTGTGGGAACTGCAAAGCAGCCCCCCAGTTCTCATAGCAAAGTCAGTCATTTTCCTTTCCCTCATATTTTTGTTAAAATTACTTCATAGTATGTGTTTTGACCCTTGTGTTCCCCATCAGGCTATCTCATGCTCAATCAAAGTCCCCAATTGGGCAGAGTGCTATGTCCTTTGACGGAAGGTAACTACTTCATGTATGTTTGTCATATATATGTGAAAGAAGGGAGTCACCAAACTCATCTTTGTTCTTTTGCTTGATGCAGCACCATTCTCAGCTGCTGCGAGGATGGAACAATATGGCGCTGGGATGCTGTAGCAATGGATTACTCCAAGTAGGTCTACTCAGAGTAATATTTCAGGATTTTTTGCCGTCCAATTTACTTTTGGTTAATACCAAGAACCTAAGGTCAAATCTTGTATTTGGTTGATGTAGAAGTCAAAGTTGCATTCAAACTTTGATCCAGGAATAGATGATTCTCATGTGCTACTCAAAGACCCCATGAATCAAAGACCAAAAATCATTCAAGATTCATTGATCTGGGCAAAATTCTAATTTTGCTTGTCAAACTTGACACTACTCCCTGGAAAAGCATAACAATTGAGGCATGAAACGTTTTAATTATTGCAAATATTGAAGGGAAAAATTGGCATGCTTTGATACAAAATTTCTGGGATAACTCATATAGAACAGCTTTTCTTTGTGCTTGATTGATACGTATTCATGTGATAAAATTGTCAAACATGTATTCATGTGTATTCTATATACACAAAAGAATGTGATTGACTATTTCACTGCGATGATTTCTTCTTTTTCTTCTTTCTCGGCCACCATTGGGATGCTTTCTTTAATCCCATGATTTTACCACAAAGAATAGGGCAGGAAACAAGACCCATCAAATTTGACTCTGCAATTGTACCAACAAACTCCGCATACTTTCAAGTTTCTGACTCAATTCTCTAATATTAGCAAGATGCTCTTCAGGAGATTCTGAACTGGATAAGTTGGTAATGAGGGCGGTACACTTGGCTTGTGAATCCAAAACTGCCTCCTTGAGCGAGGCTACAGTTGACGCTAGAGTTGACCGTGGGGTTTCATGTGTAACATATGATCTAGGAGATTGCCCAATACTGCCAGCACTACTGTATAGGGATGTTTATATCCAATTCAATCGTTGATCCGACTTAAACTAATTCAATTCAATTAAAAGTCAATCCAAATCAATATAAAATTGGATTGGTTTGAACTATAAAATTTTAAAATCGATATAATTGGTTTGGTTTGTAATTTTACTTTCAAACCACTTAAACTGCCTAATTACAAAATAAAATCCGATTATAAGATAATTTAATTAAATAATATAATATATTTTTTGTAATATTTTAAATTTTTTTTCTTATTTTATAAGATAATAATTCCATTAACTTAATTTAAAAATAAAAATAGAATATTTTCATATTCCTTAAGTTATTTTTCTATTTTCATCATACATTTTAACCCTAATTCTAAATTT